TGAAAGAGTAACACACATCTATCCACCCTCACACACTTTCGCGTTTATAATATTATTAAGATAGGAGTGAAGTAAAAACGAAACTCGAAGGAATGACGAATGCAAAGTCATTCGGGTCACCTAGCACAAAATTAACCGATTGTTTTTTAATTTTCAAACCTACACCATCAAGCATATGACATCAGTCGTAGGTACGTTTACGCAATTATCAATTAGAAATCAGTCAGTGATATATAATTAAATTAGGCACGGTAATCCTACTTACGTACAATAACTCATGATTTGAAGATGGTTCCTTTCATATGCTTTCATATGTAAAGCGCCTTGTTGGTCATATAAGACGGATGGCAACTGCCGCTTTCAATTGGGCACTTTATAAGTGAGCCTTATGTAAGCAGAGCAATCTTCTGAAGCCTATATTGATTGGTGAAGCGTTACTAAGTGTGCCACTTTACAAATTTTAATTGGCTTTCAAATTAGCAACTGTTTAAACAAGGCAGGCAAGTAAATTAATATACATTTGAAGGTGAAACGCCTGTGCGCAATTTGTTTTAAGTTTTTACAGTCGGAATGTTTGCTAATACTTAGACCACGTAAATGGAAAAATATCTAATTGCTATACAGAACTTATGAAATTAAGTAACCTAACTTTTAAATAGACACAAAAAAAAATTCAAGCAAATATGGTGATCGTGTTTCAATCAGTAAAAGATATTCTATATCATTAAATAAACACATATCACATATCTAAAGCTTGTATCTATATTTTTAAAGGCATTTTATTAAAGATATTTTTGTTCCGCTATTTCGATTTTACAAGAATTTTAAATAAATAACAACTGACAAATTATAGTAACTGGCTAATCAAAAATACGTTTCTATTCTAAATTTATATTTAAGTTTATATTGGTGGTCTTGTATACAATATTGTTTTGCCTTCACTTCTTAACCATTTTAACTCCAAGTATTTTAATTACATTGTTATAAATGTACAACACAAATTTCAGGCACATAGGTGCTTTTCATAATGTTGTTCATAATACATTTTTTCTATACTAATATCATATATATAAAAGTCTATCTATTTCAAGTCTATTTACATGGACTCGATCGCATTGAGTACAATACAAAATATATATAAAGATAGGCTATTATAATAGGAGACAATAAAAACAGGGACACTAATTTCAATATAATCTTCCACTTTCTTAACAATTGGTAAGTGTGAATAGTCGTTTTTTTTGCATTATTATTCTCACATTATATTCACGCACCGCTGGTGTCCATTTAATTTTAATCTCATTAGAAATAGGATTTGCACTGTAGATTTTATAATAATATGATTACTATCTCACTATTATTATTATAAACACACATTCATCTCAGGTGCGTTTTATAATATACTAGTTGTTTCCCAGGAATTCGTCTGCTTATTTGAGATACAATTAGCTATATATAATCTACTATCTTCATGCCAAATTAGAAGAATAAGTATTTTTTAAAAGGGTTTTGATGATTCTTTCGAAAATTGGTATTTTTTTATGTGGGCTCATATTCTTTTATTTAACATTTCATTCATCTAATTATTTAGGATAATTCAAAGAATCACTTTATCTTTTAGATATCATTAATGATAGTAATGAAGTTGCAGATTACTTCGAGGTTTCAACAATATAATAATATGCCTGTGTTATAATTAGAAAGAGAAATAATCTTTATTCAAATAAACTGAAATAAGCATTTTTGAATAGTCATATAATATTTTTTTAATTCTACCACTCATTCAGAAAGCAGACTTGTGACAAGAAGACCGAGCAGAATGCTCCTTCAGCATTACATATTTAGGACTTTGTGTGAATACAACATGATAAATAGCAAGATACATAATAGTAAATAGATGTAATGGGTACTTTTTTTTTTATGGATGGATATGGATTTATGGATGATAATGGAATGGTGTACCTGCCTGCGCTAACGGTTTACGCTGGCGGGGCACCAGTGGAGGATGATAGGATGAGCATGAGGTCAGGTCAGTTAGCACATCGTGACAAATTCACCAGGAATTTATCACGATGGTTTCCAGGGGGAACCGCGTGGAGGTCAACCTGACATGGTACATTGCTAGTAATTGGGTGATGAGTCCACATTACTAACAATCTCCTTCCCCCTGCAATGGGTACTTAAGTAACGGAATAAATCAATGATAGTCATCAGAGCAGTCCCTACAAGCCGCACGTGTTCATAAGTATAACTGGTGGGCCAGCCATCACTGTGTGGAACTCTTTATTTGTATATATGAGTAAAACATTATTCACATGTTCAAACATATAAATGTATTAAATAACCGATACCCAGCTATTGTCGTACACAAAGCTGAGGGCCCAAGAGATAACTCTTTTTCATTTTTTAAATCTTGCCGAGTATAGTCGTGTCTAAATTTAATAACGTCATAATCACTTTAGCAGTGTTTTTGGATTCGAAACAGGAAACTGAAGCAATTAAAGTTGAGTTTCTTATTCGCCCATTTAGTACATTCATTTAACTTTAATAGAAATCATCAATCTTGTTATTAATTAGTAATATACTACTTAAAATGGAGTGTAGCGATCATATAAATGTTATAGATCATTGTAGCACGTTGTGAACATCAATCATTATTGAACGAGAACATTTATGATTTCCGATATAGTGATTAACAGTAGGCTCATTTATATGTACTGCACCTATCAACGGACTTCAAAAAGGTAGTATTGTCCTCGATTATTCACAGGAATGAGCTTAAGTTGTATAAAATGTAATTTTGTAACAAAAACATAATTGTAAATAATTTAAATTTGACGTTTAGATTATTGATACGAAAAATGATGAAAATGATGGGATTGTTCACGTTTTATGTATTTTATTGAGTTTCCGATATTTCGGCAGTGTTCCAATCGCCATGATCACAGGCAAACTAAAGACTAGCGGGTAAGTGGTTCAGAAATAAAATTATGAACAGACATTTGCGTCTACCTTCACACGTCTTCGTTTGTTGCTACTATTGATACTCGGTCGATATCCATCTCGACAACCTATACTTCTGTATCTTCACGTACACGTAATAGACTTTCCGATCGCAATTCCGTGATTATTTTAATTTTACGGATAAGCTATTGTTTTGTTTTTCCTTTTGGAGAAAACGTTTTTCAGTAACTAAGGAAAGTATTTAAAGAAAATCTGACTAATGTGAAACCTTGATATCACTTGGTTTATCGATAAAATATCGTCGAGTGTTATTACTTTTTTTATATAATTAGAAGTGTAAACAATCTAAAATCCACTTTTTCACTGCACCTACACCTGAATAGAAACATAAATTATAAAGCAAGCTGCTTGGCGGCTGAAATAGGTGAGACTGAGGTACTTACCACGTTTTGTATGGAATGCATTCGGAGGAATCTAAAATTGCCTTAATTCCATGTTATATGTGATTTCTTAAGCTGTCCCAAAAGAAAAAAGAAAAAATATTATAATTAATTTAACTTCAATGCACGCAATACTAAATATAGTAAAGTACGTTTGGCGGACTTAACACCATGCGGCATTTTCTACCAGTCAACCATAGGGAGTGCAGAGAATAATTGTAATCAAAATTGGCCAAAGTATGGCAAACATTAAAAAATGTTTACTTTATGATAATAGATTATATAATATCCTACATACAGGTTTTTAGTTTTTGCTAGTTTCAGGATTATTGAATCTCATAGTCTTATAAACAACAATATTTTAAGGTCAGCGTTGCCTACACATGTATACAAATAGAATCATTACGAATCGATTGTATTATAATAATTTAGAGATATTATAGAAGCATGAGAAGGTAATAAAACATTGTTAACAATTAATCGAAGTACCTATTAATATTTAAGTATATATTGAGATCACTTTAAGCAAAATGCGTTTGTAAGTATGTCGGTCAGTGTCGGATCCTTGAGTTATTTGTCTTACGAAATTGACCATAATGGATGCACACGCGTAGTGTGGATGCTTTGCTCTATTTTATGGCCTGCTAATTCTGTGTGACCTTACAATTTTAGAAAGAGCAAAATGAACTCATTAATGATGATGACGGCCTCGGTGGTCTAGAGGTTTAGCACACGGCTTACTTTCGCCGGGTTCGATTCCTTGCACGGTGCAGACCTTTGTATTCATAAGTATGATTCTTTATATCGGTTTGTGTATTTTCAATATATTATGTATGTATGTATTTAAACAAAAAAAATAATTTATTTATTTATATCTGTTGTCTAGTACCAACAGCTCTGCTTGCCAACGTACTGGTAGGTGTCAACCATCATCTCTATAGTCAGCGTAAAGCATTTGCGCAGGCGGATGCACCATTCCATTATCATCCATTAAAACTAATCTCTATACTCTATATATATAAACACCATTACACACGAACAATATGTTATCATGTGAAGCCTGTTATATCCCTCATTCCAGAGGACTAAGTTGTCATACCTCCATACTCTGTAATTTCGCTGTCCTATCTCATACTTTGATACTCGCAACACAAGTTGTTTCTTCTAAGAAAATTATCTTAACATATTATGAAACATACATAGAACTTGCAGCATAAATATACATGCCGTCAAAATCTAGAGGAGTGTTCGCAATTATCCTCGGTTATATAAAAATAGCATAGGAAATATCCCTCAATTACCTAGCTATCATGCAATATTATCTATGTAGAAATTAAGTCATGCGTCATGGGGCTGGTTTCATTAGATCGTATCAGAAATGGTAACTTTAGAAGGAAACAGTAGCACTGCCGTATATTTACGCGTACTTCCGCAAGTTCGAGCCGAGGAAATGGACAATCTCACAAAACTGGATTCAGGACAAAGACCTATCGCCGGTCATTCCCTCGCCTATCTGGAGTTAAGGAAAGTTGCCCACAGTTGCTAATATAAATGCATGAACTTGATACATTCTCGCACTTTTCCGTGCGCCACTGAATAGAGCACCTTTCCTTTTGCAACGCGTGTTTTCCTATATAATGTAATATAGTCCCCGTAAAGACGACAATAACAACATGGTGCAGACAGAACTTTTGGTGAGACATCGTCATTTTTACGTAATGCAAACCGGGAGGCTCGACAGCTAATAAATTGCCTTCTCATGCTATTTTAAGTAACACAGCAATTTGTTAAACGCTCGGCCAATTCGGAATCCATTTGAAAGAAATGCAAACATTGCATTAACGAGCTACTTGATTGATTGGCTTCCACGCCTGTTCGGTTAACTCTGATGGATCGTTTAAGTGCTCGTTTGTTTCAGGTGGTCATCACTTTCGCTGTTCTCGTGTGTGGCAACGAAGTCGAGGATGTGGAACAAAAAAAACGCGGTGCCGGGAAGGGTACGAGCTTGAATTCCATCCCAACGGGAGTGCAGAAACCGGAATACACTTATAGTATTTATTCGCAAAGTCCCAGCGCTATAAACAACTCACCAAGTTCCACATATCAGTCATCCAATCCCTCATATCAATCACAAGTACCAAATTCCTTTTACCCCTCACAAAATGCACAATATTACAGTTCAAGTAATTTACCCCCTGACGGGTCATATCAACAATCACCACAGATAAACGTAATACCCCCAACAACTTCACCCCAATTCGTTCCTCTAAATTTTGTACCAAACTCTGGATACCAGGCAAAGTACCAACTCGTGCCTTCAAAGGCGTCTAATGGCAACATACAATTAGCTATTATACAACAACCTACAAGTTTCCCATCTCCAGCATTTCTTCAATATCCACAATCATTGTTATCGACGAATCCAAATCAAATTCAGGGTCAACAAAATCCATTCGGTGCGATATCTCCTCACGGCCAAATTAACGTAGGTGCAGGGTTCCAACCTTTATCGCTTGGTGGTCCTTATTTAGGGCAGCAATCAGCTATGTTACTACTTCCTCAACCTAATCCCTCTCTGTACAACAATCTTTTGTATCCAAATCCTGTACAAAGTTTCTACAATTATTACCCGTCCAACACTCAAGCCAAATATAGCGTTGCATATGGTGCTGCGCCTCAATCATCTGAATACGATAAACTACAAGCACCCCCAATATCCCAAAGTCTCCCGAAGGAAGATAGTGATGTAAATAATAACGAATATGTATCTAGTGATGTAAATACCTATAAGAGTGCGTATGCGACTGGTCGTAGTTCGTCTTATGGTAAATTAAAATGATGTTATGATCATATATGTAATTGTTTTGATAAATTAGGCAGTTATAATCAACACTCGACACGTGTGCACGTTGCCATTTTGTTTTTTAATTTTATTTATTACACGAAGACTGTTTAATGTTGTTATGTTAATAGATAATTTTTGATATTTAATTGTTAAATGAAACATGTATATTACTGTTATTAATACACGACTAATATATTATGTTTTATTGTATTATTTGTAAAATACCTTATTAATTGGAGTAAACTTTGTTGTTAAAATCAAATATAATAAAAAAATAACCAGAGGTATATGTGAAAAAGTATTATAGGATGACTTAATCAACACAATAGAACCTAAAACAATGATTATTAGTATTTTAGTCTGTTTGTTTGTGCGGTTATGTTCGATAATCGCGGAAACTGGCCTCTATGGGTATGATCTTAACTATGTATTATAATTTTTACTAGAAGACATGATGTTATTGATATACTTATTTATTTATTTAACTTTAAAGGCACATAGGGCAGGCTTAACACCTTGTGGCGTACTAGGTAATCATGGATGGTAGAGAGAAAGATTGCTGGCGGTTTACTAATATAAATGAGATGTGTCATAAAGTAAAATCGGCAAATTATATATAAATTGCCTTAAAAAATAATACAGATATGATAACATATAAATAAATACCTAATGATCTGTCAATAGAATTGTAAATATAGCCTCGAAATGAACTCATATAATAATATATGATGTGGAAAGATATAAGAACGAATAGTCATACACATGTAATATATAAACGTATATTAATCGTACTAAAATATGTTATTTCATTATCAGTTACATTATGGCTAAACAGTGTTCATGAAATCAAAATCTATATTATTATTCGTATTAGAGGAATTAATCGCAAAAGTTATTTTCTTTAACCCATTCCTAAACTAGTATTTAAAAAGAAGAACGTTTAAATTCTATAGATTTAGTTAACGATAAATCAAATAATGTTTAATATCATTCAATCGATATACATAGTTCATTTATTATATTCTAGAACGTAAGTAGGTACCCAACTTTCCCTGCATTGGGATCGTGTTTCGAGTTAAACAATGAATAATTTGTGTTTCGTAATTTATATTGTACCTATATAGAAATTGAACGTAAGCGATACAATAAAATTAGCGGATTGTTTTCTAGAGTCTATTGTTCGGTAACGTTAGCCCTTTGATGCTTAACGAGTAGTCTTTTAGAAATTTATATTGGTATTAAAAAAAGAGGTTCTGTTTTTCCTTATTTTCTGTGTATGTCACATACATTACTCCAGATGAGGTAGTCAGAGTGTTGGAATCTCTAACGACTTATTTAGGTAATTTTTAGTTTATAAAACGGCAACATTTCCACTGTCTCTGAATATACCAGCTACTTATTAATTTACTTGTTTACATTACCAGATATCCTTTCGACAGAAGCATTGTGAACTGTAGATGGCGAGCGCAACACTTGATATGCGTGAGGAAGTGGATTGTTAGTAATGTGGTCTCCAGCTCCCATTTCTAGCAATGTACCATATTAGGTTGACGTGGTTCTCCTTGGAAACCATCGTGACAAATTCTAGCAAAATTTGAGACTATGTAGTAACTGATTTAATCTCATGCTCATCTTATCATTCTCCACTGGTGCTCCGCCAGCGTAAACAGCGCATACGGAAGCACCATACCTTTATCATTAATTTAAAAAAAAGATATGCCCAAATTTTACTAGGAATATTTTGAATTCAACGTGGCAAGCTCAGTACTTCCTGGGAGTAATTCAAAATAGCCAACCATACATCACGACTCTTTGTCTCTATAATGTCCGTAGTGCTGTTGTTGATGTTATGTATACGGTTAAATTTTTTTATACTACGATGATGGCATATGGTCAATCTGTTGGTAACGCCTGAAACACCTGGGTAGTCAAGAGCTGCTTACCCCTAAGAAACTTTTATATACTTCATAAAAACGTCTATTTACCATCAGGTGTAACATAAGCTTTAATTCCAATTACATAATAAAAATTATAACCGAAATGGCACTGCATGACAGCAGAATCCCCTTTATTGTAACAGTGATCCGAGTGATCAATGCTTGGGAATTGGGCCTCATTACGTTAATATTGTATGCTTTTAAATTTCTTTATACAACACAATCATGTCCGGCAACATATCTGACACGATTGTGCTGAAAATTGTGTAAATAAACATGGGAAATAATCAAACAAATTTATGCGAGATTACATTCTAATCTAACAAAATAACATATGCTTTGTTTGCTTTGTTTAAAAAGAAAGTATATCTGTGCTAGCCATACAATTTGAAAATTCATTAAATTTAAGTAGATTCCAATCAATCATTTAAAAAATTCAATTGTTGAAAATGTAACTAACACATTGATAATCAGTTTTTCATTACGAAAAAAAAATAGTATGAATTGGACATGGCAGTTTTTTTCTGATCCGACATTATAAAATATAATATAACTCCAAACTTTTTAGACTTTTGACATCAACCCCTATTTTTTAATAGGGATTTTAATTTATATGTCAAATTACATTTGCTGGGTCAGCTAGTATCTTGTTATCTTACTAATATTATGTAATATTATATTATCTGTGCTAATATTATATACACGAAAGTTTGTGAATATAGATGTATGGATGGATGTTTGTTACCCTTTCATGCAAAAACTGCTGAACAGATATTGATGAAACAATGCAGTAATATGGTTTATATTAGAATGACAGATAGGCTATAAATTTTATGCGGTTGAAACTGCGGGTATAGTTAGTTATATAATAATTATGACTTAATTTCATATGATAATATCAATCGAGTTATTTAGTGATAATTAAAAACACACAAAATCATGAATCCATTAATCGATTACTAAAACGAACTCATAATGTATTATTGTCATTTTAACTGTTAATATGTGCAAATTAATGCGAACTGTACATATCGAAATCAAATACAGTTAGTTACGCCACCGCTAAAGAAATACAAGCATATAATAAATATGACAAGTCGTTGAAAATAGCAACATTTTGTACAAATTAACACTTTAATGAACGTGAGAAACATGAAATGATGCAATTCGGTTACCTATCTATGTATTTATGATCTGTACTTACGTTGTAGTCTATAGTGGAATCAGTAGATGATTCTACTGATCAAGAGAGAATGGCCACCGGGCCATTCTATTGAATAACTTTTTTATTTTTTTAATTAGGGCTTTATTAATCGGTGCTATTAACTTGTAGCACTGTGACCGTGTATTATGCTGTATTTATATGTATTTTGTTGGGGACAAGAATTGAAGGATATTTTTAGAGGTTTTTATCTCTTCAGAATAGAGTGTGTACTTTTCAAAGAAAGTATTTCGTTTATGCATCGTTTATGCTACAACCACATAGGACGTTTCCTCCTACATTTGGCAAAATCTGAAAATATTTGTTAAGACCTAAGTTTGGCAGCATATATTTATTTAATTTGAAGTGACCAGGTCATGGGCTTAGTCATCCTGGCATATTCTGTCATTGAATCAGTAATCCGTTATTAGGGCTTTTGAATGTACTTTCTTGAGTCCTGGCATATTTTGCCAGTGATTCAGTGCTTCCTGTTTAGTTATTATTGTGAGGTGTCCCAATTTTAGACAACTAGGCACACAGAAGCGTTCTGTTGGGCAGTTTTTGCCCCTAACCTTGCCAGTTGGCTAGCATTTTCATTGCCTTCGTGCTCCGAGAAAAAATTACCTATCCTTCCAAAAAAAAATACAAATATATATTTATATTAACTAAGTCACAGCATTCGGCTGGTTGAAAGAGATCTCTTTCCGACATAAGCCCACTGTTATACACATTTTATTTAATATTCATGTACTATTTTAGTACAAGTATAATAAATGTATTGGTATGTCGTGGTCGTGCTTCCTTCACTCAATAGACTAACTGGTCAGTGCGCGGTGAAAGGGAGCGTGCTGGATATCTCAGATAGTATTTGTATCATTTCTGAGATGCGCAATCAGATACACCTGTTACTCTACAGGCTGTTATAAATTTAATTCTACATACACAAATGATGGCCTTGGTGGTCAAGTGGTTTAGCAAACCGTATTACCTCCGATGATTGCGGGTTCGCACGGTACAAACGTTTGTATTCATAAGTGTGATTGCTTGTATGTTGTGTTGTATGGTCTGGATGTTTCCTATGTATATTATGTATGAATTTACAAAAAAATCTATCAGTTGTCTAGTACCCATAACAGAAGCTTAGCCTAGGGACTAGATGATGCTGTGTAAATTGTTCTATGCTATTATTATAAAATACATTTACTTAGGTAAACTTTGGAAGTATTTTTTTGCACTTTTAGTATTATCACTTTTTGACTGTTACTGTTCGTACCTACACAATCATTGATTATTTTTTAACAGTTGTTTCAAGAATATCACACATACAATAGCCCATAATATATTATCCTATATATATTTATATGATCACAATAAATGTGTGAACAGATAATAATTGTATTGTATTCAAATATCGATAAACCCATTCCGCAGTAATGCGGTTCATCTCGACACCTACGAGTATACAAGAAGGACGCAATGACTGCTCTTTGTGCGTCACTCTCGTATACCTTCGTAAAAATCTTAATCAATATATTATATTACTTTACGTAATTAGAATGGCAAACAAGCTGATGGTAAGTATGTATAACTTTAAAAATAATTATTTGTGATATAATATTAAATGTAAGTTAAGTTATAAATTGCTGCTTGCCTGATAGGGTGTAACTGTTGATACATAAATATATATAGTGTTATGCCAACTAGAAATTTATGTTCCCACACAGTTAGCTATAAAGATATTCTATTCTATTCTATCACGGTATAGTATCACGGGTGTCGCATGAACTTCCTGCGTTACCATTGCTAGAGAACTAAGATATCATGCCTGTAATTTCATATATGTATGACAGGTTTGTTTGTTCGTATAAACGTCGTAGTATCTAAAATTATCTGACAGGTTTAAAGAAAAC